ATTTTACATATTTCCCTGATCAGTGTAGAAGAGGAGGAGGAATCCTCTGTGGTTTTCACACGTCTCTCATCTTGTTCTCATTTAGTACCAGATGGTAATCGAGGGGAAGTTGCACGGTTTCCTGAGGATGTACTGGGCCAAAAAAATTCTGGAGTGGACTCGTTCACCAGAGGAGGCGCTCTCCATCGCTCTGTACCTGAATGATCGCTACGAGCTGGACGGTCAGGACCCCAACGGCTTTGTTGGTGAGGAAATGAAACTCCTTTCACTGTTTTAACCCTCAGGGAGCGGGTTGTTGTTTGTGTTTTTGTTTATTTTCTGGTATTGTTAATAAACACAATGGGCCTCATGCTTACTTTTGTTCGTACGAAGAGTTTGTACGAACATGCCACGTCAGATTCAACAAAATCTTCTATCTTCAGGAAAATTGTGTAAATGAGCTGCGTAAACTGATGAATGTGTATCAGGTGCTCGTGCAGGAGGAGAGGAGGTTAGTATAATTACCACCCTAAAACACCATATAAGGTAACGTTTCCTGCCTCACATACCAGGAAGTGTCCATTTATAAATGACATTGCAAAGCTAAAAAGAAGAACTTTACGAGTTCAGAAATTAAAGTTCTGCTCTCGGAGATCCAGGAAAAAAAGTAATTTTTAGCAGCATCAGCTGTGGAATTAAAGGAGCTGCTAAAGTCAAGGAATGAAATGACGACTGCTGTTAATGCCGTGTCTCCTGTGGATCATATACAGTCACAGAAATAAAAATCTAAATCATATTCATCTCTCTCTAGTCCTGCTCCGGTTTTCCTTTGGTCAAATATTTTTAATTTGAGTGTAAACAATTGTGTTACATTGTTTTCAGTCGCGCACCTCTGAAGAAAATCTTACAATAGGAGAAAATTGGTGAATGTCACAAATTCTCCTAAATCTCTCGTACACACGACTTAAGAACAAATCTGTTCGTACGAACGGTTCTTGCATGAGGACCAAAAGCTCCTAGTCCTTGTTAGACTTGTTTCAAATGTTCCTGAKAACTTTCTGTAACTTTACTGCCCCCTGGTGGTCTTTAGGGGAGCAATCAACCATACTGAAATCCATTGGAAATACATTTTTACCATAATTTGTCTTATAATATAAWGCATTCCTTTCAGAAACGTTTTTATTTTACCTCTATCATTTTTTTCTAATCTAACATTATTCCATTAGATGGTGCTTTACTTGTACATTTGAGGGCAACAGAGAAACAATCGATGCCGGGGTCTGGAACTTGACTGTTCTTCTTCACAGCTGCTCTTGAACCAGCTCTGTGTGGATGGGTGTCGCTGAGTCCTGATGCTTGACGTGTCTGTGCTCTCCCCTCTGTCTCCCTCCTGTAGGCTGTATGTGGTCTATCTGTGGCATCCATGACCAGGGCTGGGCTGAGAGGCCTGTGTTTGGAAAAATCCGCTACATGAATTATAAAGGCTGCCTTCGCAAGTTTGACGTGGCCAAGTTTGAGAAGAAGTACTGTCCTAAAAAGCTCTGAAACAGGACGTGTCCTGATGAGTGGACAGCTGTCCCTTCATCACTGCTGTAAAGAAACATCTTTATGTTTTTATCAGGGGATTTATTTTAATCTTATGTTTTTTTTTATCTCATATTGAAGGTTTTGTCCAAAACAATCTATATGCTACAAGTCAACTGTTACAAACAATAAATGTGTTTATCAAAGCTACAAGCTGTTTACATTTGAAACATGCAAGAGATGTTTTTTGTAAAAATGTTCTGTATGAGAAAAAACTTTTAACTCTGTTTTTCTGTTGCCTTCTGAAACTTAAGTCTAATGTTTTGGGATATAAAAGGACCAGTAACAAACTCAACTCTCTCTTCCTGTCTTTTAATTTATAAATGCTGAAACACAACCAGCAGGAGTTCTAATGTGAAAATGCCTCAGCTTCACTCCTGAAGGAAACACTTCACCAGTATCACCCCCTGAATTTCAGGACCTTTAAGTATTTGAAATACATTTTGATAGTGGCTTAAAACTAGAATTGGAGAGAACATCACAGGTTACTGTATATCAATGTCAATTTTATTTGTATAACACATAAAAACAACAGAAGTTGGCCAAAGTGCTTCACAATTAAGCTAAATGAATAAAACAATTGAGCAACACATAAATATAGACAGTAAAATCAATTAAAAATACAATTTTTTAAAAAAACATCAAAAGAATCTCAAACTCTACCAGAATGAAAGGCCAAAGAGTAAAAGTGAGTTTTAAGTAGAGATTTAAATGTCTCAGTCTCAGCAGTCCGTATGCTAAGAGGTAAACCATTCCAGAGTTTTGGGGCAGAGACTGCAAACGCCTGATCACCTCTAAACTTTAGCCTCCTAGATCTAGGAACATCTAAGAGGAACTGGTTGGATGACCGAAGTGCTCCAACTAAAGTGTGGATGGGGCCAGACCTTTTTAAAGCTTTAAAAGTAAGCAATAAAATCTTAAAATTTATCCTAAAATGAACAGGAAGCCAACGGAGAGAAGTCAGAACCAGGGAAATGTGTTCATGTTTTTGTGTTCCTGTTAAAAGACGACCTGCTGCATTTTGGACAACTTGTAATCGATGCAGAGAAGATTGATCTAAACCAACATACAAAGAATTACAATAATCCAAACGAGATGCAAAGAGAGCATGAATCACTTTTTCAGTGTCTTTGTTTGGGAGGTATGGCTTCACCTTAGCAATAAGTCTTAGTTGGAAAAAACTCGATTTAACCACTGAGTTTATRTGCCTGTCCAATTTAAACATATTATCAAAAATGAAACCCAAATTRCTGACAGCAGAGCAGCTGGACCAAGAGTGTCAGGAGAAATGTCTMTACTAAAGCTGATGACTTCTGTCTTACTTTCATTTAGATTCAGGAAATTTAATTTCAGCCAGATTTTTATGTCGTTCAAACAGCTCAAGAGTGATTTGAATGAATTAATCAAACCTGGCTTAAGAGCAAGGTAGACCTGAATGTCGTCAGCAAAACGATGGAAAGGAACCTTATATTTATTAAAAATGGACCCCAGAGGCAACATATAAAGATTAAAAAGCAAAGGACCTAGAATAGAGCCTTGGGGGACCCCYCAAGTCAGAGGAGCTGTAYAGGAGCAATCTCCTAAATGAACAGAAAAACTCCTATTTGTTAWGTAGGCTCTAAACCAGGATAAAACTGCCTTTGATACCAACCGGCTGCTCTAATCATGACAGTAAGATGTTATGATCAACGGTATCAAAGGCAGCAGAACAATCTAAGCACTCAAACTGCAGAGCTTCCTGAATCTTAAAAGGGTTGTTTCAGTGCTGTGACGGGATTTAAAACCTGAACAGTTCACCAATATTATTGTCTTGTAAAAAACCTTGGAGTTGGATAAAAACAACTTTCTCTAAAACCTTTGATAAAAAAGGAAGTTTTGAAATCGGTCTGTAGTTGGTGAGAACTCCTGGATCTAGGTTTTTCTTTTTTATAAGGGGTTGGACCACAGCATGAAAGTGACATGTTAATCAGAGTGACAACAGTTGGACCAACAGTATAAAAAACATCCAATGATGAGGCGTCTTGAAGCTGTCATTGACAACAAAGGCTTTTGTACAAAGTATTAGATAAATTTCAGTAAGTGTGTTCAATACTTTTTCCCTGTGCCATTCCACATTATTACAAATAACTTCATTTCTGGACATTTATGGTTTGATTTCTTTGTATGTATGGATCACTTGGGTTGTTACCGACATCTGGTGAAAATTTCATGTCATTAGCACCTCTAGTAATATATTTACTGAGAAAAATGGTGACGTGTTCAATACTTATTTTACCCGCTGTATTATAATATTACATTATAATATTACAATGATTTAAAAATAAATGAGCTCTCAATAAAACACAATTAATTTCTACTTTTCAAGCAGTTGAACTAATTAGTGAAGCAATTTGTCTAACAATTTTAACTAAGCAAAAGCAGGTTAAATTTATGTACCCTTAGTGTTGTGTGTGTGTATATGTTTGTGGATGTGTATGTGTGAATGTGTGAGAGAGAGACAGAAAGAAGAGAGAAGAGTAGGACAAGACAAACAGACGACAAACAAATAAATCTTAGCTAAGGTTGTATTCTTTAAATTGTGTATTTTAATTGTGAGCCTGCGAGCCAAAGTGAGCACACGTCAGCAGTTTTACCGTGTCTGAGGCCAACCAAACAAGAGGTCAGGTCAGGTAGGTGCTTGTTGGACAGCACACACCACAGACTTTCTTGGTCAGTCGAATGGATGCAACAGGCCCTTTTTGTYGACTCGGAGCTGTCAACAACGTGGTACCGGCTCAGAACCGGAGGCCTGCCAGGAACTTTGGAAGAACTCACAGCAGGATGGCTCCAGTGATCAGTTTGAGCTCAAGGGCGGCAAAAACAAGAGTTATAATTCCAATCAAAAAGAGATATTTCCTTGTAAAATTAAAAAGGAAAATTGCTGCGAGAAAAATAAAGAAACTGGAAAAGCGTAGCTGTTTTCCAGTACAGAAAGCAAGGAAGCTGGAGAGGCAACCAGCGCCTCTGGACTCCAGCGGAGCGAAACGACGGACAGACTGACGAACAGGGAGCAAAGAGGAGTTTTTAAAGTTTTAGACTGAGAACAGAGAGGCACTGTTCCCAGGACAGAGATAAGAGTGTCTGAGTGTTTGCAGGTGTGGAATATGGTGGAGGTTCTCACAAGAACCCTGTGTGTTGTTGTCTCTGTATATGGAAAACACAAGGACCAAAACACCAAAGGGAGCACATGAACATTTTATGAGCAGGAGTAATTCAATTCTTAAAAACATTCCATTAATATTCTAATTAACTAATGATTAATTATGAACATTAACTAACAGACTATTAAAATGATTAAGTAATGCTTGTCAAAAACAGAAGAAACAAAAGCATAAAATATAAGCATTGACTAAGATATAAGTTCTGTTATCATTAACTCATAAATTTCTAAACATGTTCAAAACAACAAATGCAAATTATTATAAGCTAAACTAGAGACCTTAAAAATAAAGACAAAAGTCAAACATATTAAAGGGTTGAAACATTTGAATTATACATGTTTGTTAAACAGCAACAGACATGTTTGTTTTATTTTGTTTTATCCACAAATAGCATATTTCTTGAGAACATGAAAGGAGAGGCAAAGGAAAGCTTTTATTTTTTACAGCTCTCAGCAGAGCTGAAATTGTTCAGTCTGGGAGAGGAGAGCTTGGTGGGCAAAGGTCAACCAGTGGTGAGATTAGGTGAGGTGAAGTGAGGTGAGGGGGCTTCCCCTACYTTGTAGATGTCAGTGCACAAATGTTTCTAACACAGAACTGTGCACTACTACATTTTTGTGTCTTGCAATTGCAATAAAACTCACACAACCATTCTACCTTTATGTTTTGGATCACGTATTTCTGTCCTTGTTGAATAACAATTTCCACAACAGTAATGAGTTCTACATCAAATCTAATAATAACTAATCAGGTTGTTAAAATTTTTCCCAATTCTTTTAAATTTAATTTAATATGCTTTTGTTTAGTTTAGTTTTTTATAAATTACTATTGTTTGAATGTATTCTTTTAAAAGGGGCAGATATCAGAAGATATTTTTCTTCTTTCTGCTGCCTTTCATTTTATTTATATATTTTTTCTACTGTTCTGCATAGTTTATTTTGTTTTTTAATAAAATGAATACATTTTTAAAATTAACATATAATGTAATAAATAACCTTAGAGCTGTAACAATTTGTTGCTATTAAAATAACATCTATAGTTTTCATATTAAATATATATTAGAAAGCTCACTTGTAGCCATCTTCATATTGAATAAAATTTGTGCATTTATTGTTTTAGGTTTGTGACATCATCTTGACCCATTCACATGCATCTGATCAGAGCTACAGTGCTGCAGGCTGACAGGTTCCTGCAGGATCACAGACAGTTCTCTGAAGCAGCTCTGAAGACCATGGAGGCTCACCCAGTGCTGAACAGGACCAAGAAGTCTGATCTAGTTCAGGAGCTGCAGTGGTGATATGGCCCTGTACCAGCTCTTCATGAGGAACAATCTGCAGGACACCTTCAGAGACTGTGACTCTGCTGAAGATTCTCATCACATCTCCTCTGACCACAGCTAAATCTGAGAGGAGCTGACCACTGAAGAGAATCCAGACTTTCCTCAGGTACAACATCACACCTCACTGCACTGACCATGCTCTCTATAGAGAAGAATCTGGTTAAAACATCTCTGACTTTAACCAGAGTCATGAAGAAATATGATTCTCAGTAACAGAAGGGCAAACTTTATGTACAAAAAATAAAACACCACATGACATTGTAATGCTGTTTTATTATTTTCATTTGTTTAATAAAAACACTGGCATGATGCAACTTAGTACGTTTGATTGCTTTCTGAGGTATGTCTATTTTGGAGTTGTAGCCCACCCCTCCGGAGAAAAATCCACCAGCCGCCACTGCCCAAGAGCTGTTCCGGCAGTAGAGCAAAGTGGTCCTATTGAATGGACTGTTATTTTGCCGTACACAGCAGCCTGATGGAGGTGAGGATGTCCACCAATTGCTACTTCCAGACTGTTTYAAGGAGGAGGTGATGAAGCAGCTCCACCAAAGTCATGGTCATCAGGAAGTGAAGCGGACCACTGTGCTCATTAAGGAGTGGTGCTACTGGCCCCTGATGTACAAGAAGATCAGAGACTGGTGTCACCAACGTGAATGCTGTACCCTGGCAAAAGCTACACGCCCACAGGCTTGTTGGCCTCCAGACCTAACCAAGTCCTGGCAATAGATTTCACCTTGTTGGTATCATCACAAGATGGTA